CGAGAAAGGAGAAGGGTGAGATACCTATAGTTGATATTATTTTGTGTTTCAAACCTCTCTTTGAGATTTGAAAGCTTATTGAATTACAAGTTTTTGCTGACTAAAATATGCATTTTCTTGAAGGGATGTCTGCCATATTATGTCCCACCTTATCTTGACGACGATGTTCCGGAGGAGAGGAACCACAGATGTGTTGAAAAGTGTTACGGCAACACAACAATCGATTTCAAAGAAGACCACAGATACAGTAATATATTTTTTGTTGTTAACAGTGATACATCTTCGTTGTAACTCGACGGGTTTTTTATTTGTTTAATATAAATATAGCCAGCGACGCGTACTACCTTACACCAGACTCCATTCAAGAAGAAGTTTTGGTTTACGGTCCGGTAGAAGCGTCTTTTAAAGTCTACAACGATTTCTTCAATTACAAATCGGGTAAATGTAGATAAAAAAACTTAACTCATGTGCATTTATTTATTATAAAAAATGATTAGGTGTCTATGTAAAATCGGCAAATGCTACGTACTTGGGAGGTCATGCCGTGAAATTGATCGGATGGGGCGTGGAGAATGAAACTCCATACTGGCTGTTGGTGAACTCGTGGAATGAAAACTGGGGAGATCAGGGAACATTCAAGATCCGAAGAGGCACAAACGAATGTGGAATAGAAAACGCGATGACAGCCGGTGTGCCCATTACTGAATAAAAAATTACCGATGTCCATAACATATAATTTATATTGTATGATATACTACTTGATGAATACATAATATGTGAATTGGTTAATAATTAATGACAAAATTTAAATCAAACAGATCATTGAAATTAATTAAGGGCAAGTAAATTACCGATTAAAAAAATTGGGTACTCGCTAAAAACAAACGTTTTGCAGCATACATACATTCTGACACAATACTCAATGGTTTATTTATTCAGTTTTTAACAGTAACGAATGCAGCATTTCTTAGGGCGCATCGATCTGTCGATTTTTGATTACACCAAAATTATGTTTATTATTTTATGTCTATGATTTATGTGTTGTTTATGTAGTTTATTTTTTGATTTTAGCCAAGGCAATATCTTAAGGGTCGTTCTATGTGAAATTACCTAATGTGTGTGCAACTATTGTTAAAAAATGTATGGCATTTTTTTGGACCTAGGTGATTTAAAAAAAAAAGTTATCCAAATCACCTTGTGTTCCCTAATTTAACCCCCGATAGTGGTGTCAACATGAAACCTGCACAGTTAAAATTAAAATTAATCATACTTTAATTATATATCTATATATTTGATTTTTTTTTTAAGTTATGATCTTATCAAATTATAACTTTCCCCAGTGGGTACCAGGAAAACTTGAAGTTCCTATAACTATAAAAAAATGGCCTACAAAAAGTATAAAACTACTGGCTTACAAGTTGATTATTATAACTGTTCCAATTTGCGAGCTCAATGCCAAGTGGCTTCAAAGAAATCTCTGCACACATATACATAAAACTCAAATTAGTCTCATGCTAACCCTTCTAATTAATACATATTAATTAATCTGGATCTGTTATAATATGGTCCCCATACACTCGGTAAGACATTCAAAGAATTGAAACGGTTCAAAAACGTTTTCTTTCATTCGCTGGTTATGTTTTAAAAATTTCTTATCTAACCTTATAATCAGAAGAAAAATGCTAGACATTAGATTTATTAATAATTTAGTTCTCGGTAAGATCGATGCTAGCCGTCGACTCAGTGGGGTTACATTTCATATACCTAGGATTGTGTCCCGTAATAAACAGGCTTACGAAATCAGCACTCGTAAAACTAATTATTTATGATACGACCCTATCCAAAGAACCATGCGTATAATTAACTCGGACCCCAGTCTCCTAGATTTTTAATCCAAGTGATGGTTATTGGTTATTGTAACGAATAATGATATATAATTTGTACCTTTCCTAAAATCCGTAGGTAATGTTTTAAGTTAGTAGAGTGATCTCTGTCACTACTCACTTCTTGTGTTTTTAACTTCTTCGTGATACATTAATTTTCACCTCTTAGCGTTACTCAATAAGAACACATATTGCATGCTAAAAATTATAATTATAATAATAATAAGCTGAATAAAGTACCTTTAAAATATTTATCTATATTTGAGGTATTTTCTCGGTTTTTCAATTACAAATTACAATGACTTAAAGTTTGAATATAAACAATGACTAGAAATATTATTATATGTATCTTTAAGCCATTGTTTCTATCAATAACAATAAGTATAACATCACCAAAATAATCTTTTTTTTAGCTAGTATTATTAATATATATGTATATATATACACACGAGTATATGAGTAGGTAGTAAGTATATTAGCTATTCAAGGTGAAAAATTGAATACGTAATTCTTCCGTCAAAAACCACCTAATGTATTAAGTCTAATACAGAAATGGAGTTGTCAGATAATAGAACAATAATCAAGTTGTTTAGTTGTAAACAATATACGTACCTATCAAAATGTAACATAAGTACACTGTACACTCGTATATCAAGTGTTTCATACTATTTCGACAATTTCGAAATTGTCTTGTCGTTTAATAATCTACATTACGTGAAAAATCTTTAATACATGTATAATATTATAAGAGTACACACACTTATAATATAACATGTATACAAATTATCAACTCGAATCTCTGAAAGACATGTAATTTATTTTTAATCGTACTATTATGACCTACATTTTGTTGTTTCAATATGTTTATAAAATACTGTCAAAAAGAAGTCAAATTTATGAGCATGGTACCTAATATGTAAAATTATTGGTTCCAAACTAGTGAATAAGTCAAGTTTTCTTGATGGGTGCTTATTTTGCCAAATTTAAGAGGACGCCAAACCTCTTGTTTTTGTAGCGAAAATAATGCTTTCCTATTTCGAATGCTACGAATTCTTCAATGAACATAGACACATAAGTAATATCCTATTTGTTTTCATAATTGTAATTATTTTCTACCTTATATGCAAATGAATATTACTACTACTATACTATTATCTTTATAATAAGCTGAAATACTGGCTTTTTGGTAAATCTCCCGGATTCGATCTAATAACAGCTGAAGTAGCCCGTTATAGAGTAGTCAATTATACTCGATATCTAGTTCGGATTCCCTGAAACATATTCAACAATACACCGAATTCACAGACTTTATAGCTTGCTAGAAAACAATATCTATATATCTACTCGTATATATATTCTCTATTAGAATTCCTAGACGTCTCACTAGCGATTGAGCGGTGTAGGTACTTTTAAAAATTAAAAATATTAGCTGGTGCCCTCCAAGGGTCTGACCTACGCTCTATAACATTTATAGGTACCTCTAATCAATCAACTCGAGCAAGCTCTAATGTAGCAGAAATCAGAATACGTGGATAACAAAGCCATTTATACAACTCATAATGATCCAACGACCGTCTCGACATCAATAGAAAACCACTTGGATTGGTACTTAAGGTGACATGTCGAAATAAACGAAACCAAATCCATTTATCAACCTTTGCCTTGCATAACGAAATACCCCCACCTTAAACAACAACCTAATACCAGTTGTTGACCATATGTAGTGTGTAGGACTCTGCTTTGTTAGGTGGCTGACCTGGGCAAAACATATTCATGCGACAAAAATCAAACTAAACCTTCTAAATGCATTCTCGGCAAAACATCTAAACTTAATTAAAAATTAAAATTTTTACTATATATAATATATTCCTAAAACCGATATGGCCGTATGGCATCTAACTTTAAAGATCGTCGAAAAAAAACAAACAAACAAAATTCAAACGTTTCAATCAAAAGCCCTAACACTTCTCCAATCAAGACTTCAAACGAACTTATCTGTGATTTTTTTTTAATTTTACCACTTATGCATTACAAAAAAAAACTGTAAAGATTATGTGACTTTCAAAATTAATATTAAAAAAAAAATGTTTAAATCGGGTTTAATCTTTTAAATGGTGAAAGAATTTTATTTTTTAGATTCACAGTATCTATTTGAACAAAAAAAAAATGGTTTGGTGGATAAAAATTGTATTTTCTGCAATAAAAATAATTGGAATAGTCTGAACAAAAAAATAACAACCAAAAAGAATCATCATTACTGTATTATTAATTTCATCAATTGTTAGGTATATAATTTACTTAATTTTGATAAATATTATGATTTTCTTGTAATTGTTTGCTAATTGAAAATTTAGTAGTTTTAATCTGGAGTGCGCTGTGGATGTTTTTGTAAACTTTTTTATAGTTCAACAATTATAACACAAATCAATGTAAAATTAACTTTTGAAAAATTAAATTAATCATTATTTAAAAACGTTAACCCTTTTTCAGTCCCCTGCCTCATTACAATTTGGTGAAGATATAAACATGCGTAATTAATTAAGTATTGCATATAAACTTGTCAAATGATAGTTTGTTCAGTATATTGTTTTGTCCAAGATACTCAAAACACTGAGTCATTAAAATCATTTTTACTTGAAATATAATATTAAATTAAAAATATTTGGTATCCACTAAATTGTTTAATTTCAATTTTTTTTTCTAATATTATTTTTTTTAACCATTTTTGGTGATAAAACCTGTGATTTTTTTCTGTCAATGTTCACGTGATAAGAAATATAAAATAACCTCATAATTATTTTTACCGGTAATATACAACTCAATAAGTGGTTGTTTAGTTCCCCACATTAGAATGGAGTCTGGGACATAACGATAAAAAAATGTAAGTCCACAAATAAAAATTGGGGACTGAAAGGGTTAAAAACTTATTTAACTATGATTAATTAAATATTATAGTGAAAATTCAAACATTATGACAAAGACAACTACACCCTAGGAACTGATATGGAAATATATTTTACACATGAAAGAATTTTAACTTTATTAATTATTCATGATGAATAATTATTTTTTGATTATTTGTATAATAATAAAAACTAACACAAGCAACATGAAAAAAAATAATAGAAAAAAATAAAGCAAAAACGTTTCGTAAAAGTTTTAACAAATAATTAAAACAATAATAAAAATTGTACAAATTTAAAATATCTAGGAGAAATGAATAATGTAAAAAGAAATTATATAAGTAAAGAATGTCATTTAATAAAAATAATCACAATATATTAAAGATTTAAAAATGTCCGTCTTATGTGGTGAACTAAATAGTAATTTGTTAAATTTTGTGAGCGGCCTTTTAACTTTAAATTTGTACACTGGGCTAGAAACTTTCCAGTCCTACCTCGATAATAAATAATTATTATAATATAAAAAAAAAACATAAAATAAATAAAGTTAATCAACATGATGATTAATTATTTAGCTGGCAACAAAATTACGAGTTGCATATAGTTTTGTTAATAATAGAAAAACTATTTAAATTATTGTTAGACTAACATCAGAAATACAATTTTTATTGATGGCCTAATTAAAAAAATACAATTATTGTGGGTTTTTTTTATCAGCTAAATAATTTTAATTAATATGTTTAAACAATTCATTTACGTTATTTGTCAACTGAGTAAAAAATTCTACAGGCAAACATGCATAGAGCCAATAAACAAATAATTATTATAACATAAATGTATTTCCAAACAATAAAGTTTGTAGTGTCTGCTATTTGTTGTTTGCATGTAGTTGGCGGTGCTACGCAGTTCATAAAATTCTAAAAGTACACAACAAAATAGAATTAATAGTAAACACAGTCTTTCGTTATTAGTTATTAAGTTCTGGTAGAGTTGTGCAATTGTTTAAATCAATAAAAATTGATTGATTGGAAGACCAATATGAACAATTTTAGAATAACACATACCCATTTCTTTGGTATGTGTAATATTCTACGTAATGATCCATTGATCGTAATATAAATGATTGACTTTTCTTTAAAATGAGACATTTATCAAATGAAGTGATTAATTTTTTTACGAATTTCGATTAACAGAAAAAAATAGCACAGCCCTACTATCAGGTAAAGGACAATTAAACACTTGCCAATATTCTTAGTAAATGTAAGTTGAATATTAATTTTATGATACTATAAAAAGATACAAGATAAATGGCCTAAAATGTAAAGCTTAAATTTGTTAGCAATGGTAAGGACATCAATCATCATACACAAATTGATATACCTGGGAACAGTGGTCGATCTCTACGCAATTTTCACTATGATTAGTATCAGATGAAGACGGACATGGATTCGAGGAATTCAAACACGCTCCAATCAGTGTTTTACCCGCTTCTGATGTAATTACAGGTTGTAATTTGTGAGTGGCAAAAGTGGATACTGCACCTGTTTCAGAAACCACTAACAACATAACTTCAGTACCTTTTAGTGTGGAGAGCTCGTACGCCTGAAAACAATACAACTACAATATAAAATTGGCTAACACAAATTAATTTATTCATTTTTATACAAATAAAAGTACAAAACACTATACAAATCGTCCAAAACAAAAATTTTAAATGTTGTCAAAATTTCATTAAAAATATTTTTTAATAGTTACTTAAGGTAGAAGTCTAGGTAGAATCTGAGAATAATAATTATTATTTTAGTATAAGCCTAACTAGCTATTTATTAAGCTACACTTCAGTTAACGTGACAACAACAAACATTTACAGCTGAATGATACATGAATAAAATGATAAACATAGAGAAATACATTGGTGGACAACTTCTAAATAGATACAAAGTTTAAATAAAGTGACAGAAAAATTGAGCTGCGAGCTTACGAAAAAATACACACAAATGCATAGGTAACAGCGAGTAAGGAATGAGCAAAGAATTATAAACGCACTGTGGACAGAACAACTGAAAACTTTTCCTTTTAGAAATACATCAATAATATAACTTTTTCTTAGAAGTTTTTATATTGCTCGATAAGTTTACAGGTTGTACTTTTTATAAAGTTACTTTTTTTAGTTGCCAAGTAGGCAACTAAAGTGTGGTTTATATAAAGTAATAAAGCAAACTAATAACTGTACTATATACATAATATATAGATGTACACTTCTATCTGGGTCCCTAAGGCGTTCTTCTTGCCTAAGGGTCGTAGCAAAGTTGAGCGGGCCCACACGAGTAATAAAATAGAATTTCAGTAAATAAAATGTAGAGATTGGAATTTTAAAAATTAATATGAGAAATCAATCGCAGCAAGTGGATAGTGAAAATTAACTAACTAAGCATTGGAGCATTATGATGTGTATGTCGACTGTCCCTACCTTTTGTCACATATAATGAATTGCTTAAATAGTATAATTGGACGAGTGATAACAGTACGTCAATGTGCCCTTTATAATTTTAATTTTTAAGTTAAACTTACTTTTTTTATAAGTTCAGCTTTCCTATCGGTAAACATCAAATACTCATTTTTATTTTCAGTCTCAGTCTCACTAGCTGGTATGGTAGAATTGTCTTTCATCAACCCGTCGTGTTTAATGTCTTCATAGCATGACATATTATTATCAGGTTCAAGACCTTGGGTAATAGTACGTTTACGAACACCCTCCATATTCTTAGGGCCACAATCTAACTGTGAAAGTGTTTGTGACTAATTCATCAAATGGTTTTTCATCTCCATTCAAAACAAATGTATAATATGTACCTTGAAGCGTGTTCAATATCATTGTTTTTTTCTTCAATTTTGCCACCACCTGAAAAATATTATTTAAAACTAAATATTCAACAGTCAAGTATAAAAACAGCTGAACCGATTTTGACGCCGACAAATTCGGTGAAGGGTTACAACTTGTTGGAAAATAACTGTTTTATTTTAAAGGTAATTGAACAATATTATAACAGTTAGTTACTTACCAAAAAAAGGACTAATGGTCAATACTCAGTAGTGTAAGCAATGGAATACAAGTTAAAAGTTAAAACTGTTGATTTCTGAATGGAATGTCATGTGTTATCATACGCTTGCCGATGATTCACTCACAAGGTTAATAGCTGATAAGAGTACAATCTATTATCTATTAACCTTGATTCACTCCTACTTTAGCGCGCGCCCATCACTACTGCGACCGGTAAACCACAATGTTGCCAGATATATTATATTAGGTACCTAATTAATATTAAAACAAAAATATTTTCAAACCGAGTGTAATTAGCGCAAATGAGTAAAAATACTCGTTAATAAAAATAAAAATCTTAAAAATAATCACCAGAACAAAAGTTATTTAATTTGTCAAATTTTTGTGGGACCTCCTGAGTCCTGTATTACGAAATTAATTACTACACTCACAAGGTAGAGATGGTTATTTACAGCTTATATTGTAGCACATTTATTCATAGACTTCCTACAAATGTAATACTTTTTTAAGATATGGTAGTTTAAAGTTAAAACCTGATGCTTTGTAAATAACCTGTTTTTATCAGGAATAAAATGTTTAAAAAAGCGGAGACATAGAAAATATTTAAATTCAGTTGTGTAAGAAAACTGAAGAATAGAAGATACGTGAAAAATAAATTGTTTTTATTAAATTTCTTAAAAATCTATTCATTTTTTTTTTTAATTTTGTTAGCACTGTTTTGCAAATTGCAATGGTAAAAGGAACACACTGTTCCCCTTCTTCCTTATTGTCCTCTTCTCTATATTATGCTATATGTTTAAATATAACAAAATTTTAATAATAATCAATCAAATTAAGTACTGCTACGACCTACTCGAGTAGCTCTTTATCTTAGTAACATGATGTCTGTAATTACACACCTACACTTACATATTTGATGTAAGTTGTTGAGCTCAATGTATGTTTGACCGCATACCTACACCGAATATTATAGTTTTTAGGGGTTATATATTTTATTGATACAATTTACTATTAGTATACCTACTTGCAACGATGGCTAGACTTTTAATGTTATCGTCTGTGATTTTGCTTAGTGCTTACCTAACGGAACAGGTGCATTTTCTTCAACCAGAGTACATCAAAAAACTAAATGAAGAAATATCGACATGGAAGGTAACTAATACACAAATAGTAATAATTAAAAATCGTCTAATGATTAACATTTAACATATATATACTTGGTGATTCCTTTAAAGCCTCACGCCCAGTTTTCTCTTTAAATAATTTATAGTTTTAAGTTTTCTTATTGAAAACATTTTTGTTAATGCCAAATTACATTATTAAACAGTATTTTAATTTTTAGTTTTCTTATTGAGGAGAGTTTTGTTAATGCTAAATTACAATATTAGACAATAATTTTTTTTTTTTTTTTTTTTAGAAATCATACAATCTGTAAAATATTTAATTACAATAAGCATAAAAGATGATTTTGAGGTAAACAGATAATAATATATTGAGACAGTAGGCTTGATAGAAGGGGCCAGCCAGTGCTGGTACTTCATGACGTGTAAAATCGCAGATTAGTCAACCAATAGGTCGCGACACCACGTTCGCTTTAGGCGCCTTCTGGGGTCACCAGGGATAGTATGGACGGATAGTTCAGAGATCAGGAGGTTTTGATGGTTGAATGTTTTGGAGTGTAGGCGCTTGTAAAATGTTTTGGCAGTTTTTTGAACTGTTGGGATGGAGAGATCATTATGGAGGGTATCATTGGAGACGTAAAATGGGGCTTTTGTTATTTGGCGGAGGCTTTTGTTTTGGAAGGTTTCTATTTTATTGATGTTGGATGATTTGGCAGGTCCCCAAAGCTGGATGCCATAGGTCCAAATTGGTTTGAGGAGCAGTTTGTACATGAGGAGCTTGTTTTTGAGATTGAGGTGTTGTGATGTGAGAAGGAAACGCAATTGACGGGAGCGATTGTTTAAGATGAGACGTTTGGCATGGATATGAGTTACCCAAGTAAGGCGGCGGTCTAGGTGTAGGCCCAGGTATCTGACATTTTGAGCGGTTGGAATGGGTATGTTATTGAGGTAGATATGTGGGCAGTCTGTCCGTTTTAGAGTAAATGTGCAGTGGATGGATTTAGACTCGTTAATTTTTAATCCCTATTCTTTATACCAAGTTAATAACAGGTTGAGGTGGTTTTGGATAAAGTTTGAGGCCGTTTCAGGGTCGGCATGGAGGGCTAGCAGAGCTTTATCGTCAGCAAAGTCACCGGTAGTGGTGTATGGTGTAGTGGGTTGATCCGAGGTGAAAAGATTAAATAACAAAGGTGCTGCGACAGCTCCTTGAGGAACACCATCACGAATGGGGGATATTTCAGAAAAGGAAGAACCTGATCGTACAGTAAAGTGTCTATTTTCCAAGTAAGATTTAAATAATAGGTAGAAATATGGGGGAAGAAAAGATTTTAGTTTGAAGAGGAGACCATCGTGCCACACTTTGTCAAAGGCTTGTGTCATATCCAAAAATGCACCCGTGCATACTAGCTTTTTCTCTAGTGTGTAGGATATTTTGTCAGCTAAGTGGTGTACTTGGAGAATAGTTGAGTGGTTGTGTGAGACAATATTTAAATTTTTAATGTTTTTAGTATTTCCTAAAGATCTATCAACTTTTAAAACTATTGAAACAATAATTTGTTGAATTAGCGTTATTCAGGTCAACATAAAATAATTATTATATAATTTTAATGTTTTATTTATTTTCTTATGGTTATATTCTAGGTACTACATACTTCTATTTGCGAAAATCCTTTAAAATGTTATAAGTAAATAGGTAATTATTAATTGGTCTCTTTTTCATCTATCGCCTTGCACTCCCTACTACACGTGGTCGGCCAATATTAAATACTAATTGGTATAATTAAACAATAATAATAAAGAAAAATAAATTTATTGTATCGGCAGTATGGTTAACAAACTGTGTTAAAAAACAAATATTAAATAATGAGCTACATTTTTCCAGAAGTGTACTTATTACGAAACGTTTTTAGGCAGGAGAAAATTTTCCTCCCGATACTCCTATCGAATATTTAAAAGGGTTATTGGGATCTCGACGTGAAGGAGCTGCAGCCAAAGGTACATTCAAGACCCAAGATTCAAACTACAATTCCTTATTCCACATTCCCGAAAATTTCGACGCTAAGAAAAAAATGGAAGCGTTGTAAAACCATCGGCGTGATTCGCGACCAAGGAAATTGTGGTTCATGTTGGGTAAATATTTGTCACAAGGACACGCACTTATCTACAGCTAACTCTTTATTTCCAACAGGCTTTTGGCACTACTAGTGCGTTTTCCGATCGGTTGTGCATTGCCACAGACGGTGAATTCAACGAACTGTTGTCGGCCGAAGAACTGACGTTCTGCTGTCATTCGTGTGGCGATGGGTGTGACGGGGGATATCCCATTATGGCGTGGGACTACTTCAGTATGAATGGTCTCGTCACCGGTGGGGGCTATGACAGCAAACAGGTAAATTAGTATCTAATGCAATATACTATCTATAGCATGGAATATAGATATATTTTATCAGTTAAAAATTAAGCGTACAATAGTACTAGAGGTCACACTGGAGCAGACATGGGGAGTTTTAATTTGAAATAAAAATAAAATCTAATGTTACCTTATGAAATATATGTTATTTATAAATTTATAAGGATATTTAACGATAAATTATAAATAAATTTTGTGACTGGTCATGTTGGCAAGTGTTAAAAATATGTATGCAATGAGACGGGACAGTCTTAATTATTATGGTTTAACTCCTAGCCAAGTACTTAAGTAACGAAAAAGAGTAGAACGAATGTGTAAGGGGATAGTGTGAATTTAAAGCATGACGTCTAAATGTAGACACAGTGAACAAAGTTTTGTAATGTGAAAGTATATTTGATAGACAGGGCTCGGAAGTTATTGCACTAACATAAATAAAAGCGCTTCAATATACCAAAATATGCGCAATAAACAGCATCTAAGTATTGAAGAATACGCCAAATAAAATTTCAAAAAAAAAAAAATGTCTTTTTATGTCAACAGAAAATTGTGAAACAAAGTTGTAGATAATTAAAATCAATTACCGTATATGTTCTAAGATTTACTAAAACAACATTATAAATGATTCAACTTCGGAGCCGTGTTATAAGAAAATGCACTGAACATTTGTTTATAAAATGATTAGAAACGAAATATCGGAGGATCTGTCAAAAACCCTCGGACCTCAACCCATCAACAAGCTTATTAATTTTATAACCCAAACCGAATTAAGCAGTTATCTATAAAAATGTACTGTTTCTACACAATGTTTCGCTTTTCAATATTTAATTAATGTAGGCAAATGTATTGTATTGTAATTTATGTAAATATAATTTAATGTAACCCAATGGCCGTTGTCACCGAGGGAAAAAAAAAAAAATGATTTGACTGACATTTTATTTGGAAACATTTTTTATTATATTTTATTTTCGAAGTACCATTTAAATAAAAACGTGTATTTTTTCAATTCATTTTGTCAATTAAAATTGGGTACATGAGAAAGGAGAAGGACGGGACACTTATAGTTAATATTATTTTGTGTCTAAAACCTCTCTTTGATATTTGTAAGCTAATTATATTATAAGTTTTTGCTGACTACAATTTGCACTTTCTTGAAGGGATGTCTGCCATATTATGTTATTATGTCCCACCTTGTCTTCACGGTGTTCCGGAAGAACAAGAAGGTTCTTGTCGGAGTCAACCGATGGAGAGGAACCACAGGTGCGTTAAAAAGTGTTACGGAAACACAACAATCGATTACAAAGAAGACCACAGATACAGTAATATATTTTTTGTGTTATACATCTTCGTTGTAACTCGACGGGTTTTTTATTTGTTTAATATAAATATAGCCAGCGACGCGTACTACCTTACACCAGACTCCATTCAAGAAGAAGTTTTGGTTTACGGTCCGGTAGAAGTGTCATTTAACGTCTATGACGATTTTATCAATTACAAATCGGGTAAATGTACATAAAAACCTTAACACATGCGTACTAATTTATTATAAAAAATGATTAGGAGTCTATCAAAAATCGAAAAATGCTTCGTATTTG